CAAACCTTGGGGTGAACCACGATACATCTTGTGTTATTTACTTTCTTGCAGATTCACTGTCGGATTTACGTTGTTCCAAGACCCCTCCGGTTTTGTGCATCAACATTTGGCGCCGTCTGTGGGAATCGACACAAAAAACTATGTCGGTTCTCTTTCATTTTTTTTCACCGCCACCGTCAATCTGCAAAATCACAAAAACAAACCCAGAAACTGAAAAGAACCAAATCTCAAACACTCATCAGCTCTCTCTCTCTCTCTTTCTCTCTCTCTACTTTTTGGCAAAAATTCAAGAACTGAAGTATGAGAAACAAACCCACTAAATCTCTCAAGACACTCCCTCTCCCACAACATCACCGTCAAAACCTCATTATTCAACCTCAAACTCCACGCTGTTATCGCCACCCTAGTCTCCAATGAGATCGCCGAGATCAAAGAACCGAGTCCACGCGCCGCCGACAATGGCGAGAGAAAATGTTACTGAAAATATCGGTCTTCCGCTTGTCGGTCATCTTCTTGTCAGGAAAATGGAAGAATATGACTGATAGTAGCACAGGGCCTCAGGAAAGTTCAAGGCGAAAAGCAAGAACAAACCCAGATGCTGTTGATGCTTCAATATCCGTTCCCTAGACTTCTTCTGCTGCTCCAGTCAGACGCGATTCACCAGCAGCAGCAGCAACCCAGTGAAGAGGAAAGGAAAAGGGAGAGACTCGACCAATGTCCCACCAAAAAGAGGTCTTATCAAAGCCGGTATCTTTGGGATTGGGGGCAGATTTAATCAAGCATGTTCATTATGAGGATCAGCAGCAAACTGTGACACCAATTTTTCAGGGGAAAGCTCACCTTTTGCAAGCCACTCTTTTAATGAGTACAATTAAAGCTATCAGCTTTTGGGAAAGGGGAAGAGAGAGAGAGAGAGTGAGCACGGGCACAGACATGGAGGAAGCCGTGAAGGAATCGTCTTGAGCCTGAACATGTCAAGGGTCATCGCGTCGCTCAAGACCTTGCTGAATCTAGACTTGGCGAGTGACTCAGCTACGACATCATTTGGCAAGATTAAGAACTCGATGAAGTAGGTGGGGGGGAGTGTGGCAAGATCGAGAGACATTTGTGCATTGCTTTGGGCATACTAGACGCGCAGGGAAAGAAGGTATTGCCGTTCTGATGTTTACTAACAACCAGAGAAGAACAATTAAAACGTTTGAGCGTGATGTGGGGTGAAAGTTTGAGTTTGCTAGTCCACCAACTATTGAGAAGGTTTTGGAGTCATCTGCGTAGCAGGTGGTTGCTACTCTTAGTGGAGTGCATCCTGAATCTGTACAGTTTTTCACACCAATAGCACATAGATTGATTGATAAACAGGGAACAAACGCTCTTACTACTGCACTAGCACAGCTCAGTGGATTTTCAAGCTTACCTGCTTGATGCTGAATTAGGATTCTGTTTTGTGCATTAACCTTTGGGTCGGAGATAATTGCAGAAAGCAAAAAGAGAAAAGCAGAAAGCATGGCTACCCACTAATGCACAGCAGCCCAAGCTCTACGTTGATTAAGGGAATCAACTTGGCACGATGACAACGCAGAAGATGCCCACAAACTTTCATCATGCATGTTCCCACTCTTCACATACGACACCATGATGTTAATGAAAAAGCAAAAGTGAAGAATAAACACCCCACCAAAATGATGTGATTTACTTTTCTGGTTTTTGTATGATGTAATTTATTTTTCCTATCTTTTGGAGACATTTGTATAAACCCCATCAAAAGGTAAAAAATAAAAAAAAATAAAAAAACAAAAAAAAAGGCAAAGCCCAAAATAAATGGGCTGGAATGTTGTGTGGAGGCCTCATGAAAAATATTTGGGGGACTTAGCCCATTATTTATGTATTAAGGAGCGAGCCCTTATTCTATAAAAGGGGACTCCCTCACTTTCATTAGAGAGCACCCATTATTCATGTACTGAGAAGCGAGCCCTTATTCTATAAAAGGGACTCCCTCACCTTCGTTAGAGAGCATCGCCTCGCCACGAGCATCACTCCTAACCCGTTATTCATGTACTAAGGAGCGAGCCCTTATTTTATAAAAGGGACTCCCTCACCATCATTAGAGAGCATCAACTCTAGCCCATCATTCATGTATTGAGGAGTGAGCCCTTATTCTATAAAAGGGACTCCCTCACCTTCAACGCCACAAGCCGAGCCAACCAAGGCAACATAAGCCACGAGTCGAGCAGCCTCACAGCATGTGCTACTTCTAGTTGAGCATCATTTCAGATTGGGCACCGCCTCATATCGAACATCAGTTTAAGACAACATCTAGTTACTTCGGCCCACATATGGACTAAATTTCAAGTCTCCAGCCAAAAGACTCTCTTGACTGAAGACTTAGGGGACTACTGTTAATACCATATTTAGGGCCTTGTATTTGGATCTCGTACAAATACTCAAGGGACTTAAATGTAATTATGTGATAAAGGAAGGGGCAAATATGTAATAAGTGAGGAGTTATTATTCTATAAAATGACCTCTCACCCTCACAATTGGAAGAGACCAATTCCTAAGGCTCCTCACCCCCTCTCAAAGCATCACTCTCAGAGGCTCTCACATTTTCTCCCTCACCTCTCAGATAAATACATATTCAGTGTGGACGTAGCCCAAACCTTGGGGTGAACCACGATACATCTTGTGTTATTTACTTTCTTGCATATTCACTGTCGGATTTACGTTGTTCCAAGACCCCTCCGGTTTTGTGCATCAACAACCGAATATCTAAAAATTCTATGGTAGAAGAGGCAACTATGAGAGGGAGGCTCAGGGCAAAAGGGGTGGAGGAAAAGTTAGGAAGACTTGGAAATAGACTATAGGAAATGATATGAAGTATTTGTAGCTAACGAAATATTTGGTGCAAACTCGATCGTAGTGGAGTACAGTTGACCCCACTTAATAGCATAAGGCTTGGTTGTTGTTGTGTGTTGTTGTTATAGTAATGTAATGACCCGTCTCCAATTATTACGGTTTTTATAATTTTAAAATGTGAAATTATGAAAATACCCTTCCAGGCAAATACGTTGACTTTTGTTGACCGCTCCTATTGATTTTGAATCTCAGGGACCAAGATGATGAGTTAGGCAAATCTCAAGGACTCAATTGTGACTAAAAAACTTGATTTATGACATTTACCATCCAACTTGAGGGGACTATGCAGAATTAATATGATCAAATCATTTTTTTTATATATACAAATGATAGCATTTATGAAATAAATATAGTTAGTTGTTAAAAGAGAGAGATCATTGGAATTGAAGTTGCACCAACGTGCGTATACATCATTATAAGAACCATCTACAATATTGATAAAATCATATTCTATTACTTTGATTTTATGAATGACTTACTTTCTTTGATATGACGTGCAAGATGAATTGATTGTGACCACTATTATGGTAATATTATTATGCATGTAGTTTTTAATATATATATATATATATAGGTGTTGAAATATCACACATCAGCCATATCTCTAAGTAGATAAGAGTTTAAATATCATGTCCTCACTTCATCTAACACCGAGGCCTTTTGTGATAAAACTTCACACCTGACAGATTGTGCGGGCAATAATTACCAAGTTTGGGCTATATCGATATGGTTGGATGTGGGCCCTAAGGTCATCTCCTGTATAATTCAACAATAGGTGTTTTCAAAACAGAGATTATTCGATTGATTTTTTACGAGATAAAACTTGATCCACTCATACTTTATGTATCAATCCCTCAAGACGTAGTGAGAATCAGGAGAACCTCAGTGGTGGCAAGTGGGCTTGGCAATGAGGTTTCATCCCTTGGATTTTAGTGATGATTCCTCTACTGCATATTTATTTTGTCAATAATATTTGCATGATCACACTCTTGATTATGCATAGCACTACACTTTTATGTGTTTACTATTGTATGAAACTTCTAGCTGCTCTAATGTGATGTGATAACAATGTGATCTAAACCTTGAATATATGTTCCCAATCAGGGAGGTTGATTAGGAAACTTTGTAGCACCTTTTGATTTATTATTAATGAATGTTTTGATTCAAATTCACTCACATCGTAATTATCTTACTATGGCTTCGTTATTAAGTTGGCTTGTGAAGTCATTCCTGAATAGGGCCATATGGTCAATATCATGACGGCCAAGATATCTCGGCCTTGTAACTTGTATTATTGCGGTCAGGGTGTCAAAATGATTGGATTAACAACGAGGACATCCGAGGTAAAATATGAGTGGTCTCCATTGAAGATAAGATGAAAGAAAATCGGTTAAGATGGTTTTGGTACATGAACCGAAAATCTAAAAATGCTATGGTAGAATAGGCAACTATGAGAGGAAGGCTTAGGGCAAAATGAGTGGAGGAAAAGTTACTAAGACTTGGAAATATACTATAGGAAATGATATGAAGTATTTGTAGCTAACGAAAGATTTGGTGCAAACTCGATCATAGTGGAGTACAGTTGACCCCACTTAATAGCATAAGGTTTGGTTGTTGTTGTGTGTTGTTGTTGAAGTAATGTAACGACCCATCCCCAATTATTACGGTTTTTATAATTTTAAAATGTGAAATTACGAAAATACCCTTCGAGGCAAATATGTTGACTTTTTAAGATCCATTTTCTTAGTGTATACTTGTAGTACTTGTCACAACGAACGCGTGGGCGTAAACGGAACGTAAATTGGAGTTATAACGAAAGAGTTATTAACAAACGAAGTCGAAGGCAAAATGGTCAATTGACCATAAATCTGGAAGGCTCCAGATTTTGTTGGAGCATCAGTCTGTACCATGTATGTGGCGATGATGGAAAAGAAAGAATAGAAATGAAAGAGATGGATGGAGGAGAGAAGAGAGAAATGAGAGAAATAAGGGTGGACGCCCAATGAGAAAGAAGAGAAAGAGAGAGAGAGTGACCAATAAAAAAGGAGAGAATTGAGGGGAAATGAGAGAATGGAGGAGCACTGGATCACCCTTAAGTCAGTTCCTCCCCGCTAACCCAACCCGTAGCGTGACCTTTCCGATGTGTTTCCACTGGTTTTTCGGCGATCCAAACTCGCCACCACCTGCAAACTAACCATCATTTTCTCCTCTTCCATCTCCAACCAAATTTCACTAGGTTTAACCTTGAATTCATGCAGAACGAAACCCGTGGGTTCCAGGGGTGCCACGGCAAAGATTCGCCGATCGTGAAAGCTACGTCGACCACCACCACCATCAAACCACTCACCTTGAACCCAGGAACAAAGCCCACACAAGTTTGGGGGCGTCTGGTTCGATTTGAGGACGAATTGGAGAGCACCCATTTCTAGGATTTTGACGGGATCGAGGGCAATTTGAGCTATTTCCCAGTCAAATTGGACCTCAACCTAAGTATGAAAGTTGTTCATTTCATTGAGATCTTCATTCCTGTAAAATTTGGGAATTTTTAGAATTGTTGAATTTTTCGACTAGTCTAGGTGGCCTACCGCCACATATGGCGTCACATGGCCTTCTGGACCATAACCTCATGGCTGCTCGTACAACAATACGTGAGCGAAAACCTGAGGTCCCTCCTTAGGTTTTTCTACTTGCCGGATCCGAATTTTCCATTCCTTTTACATTCTAACATTTTAGTATAGTTTTATTAAATGGTCCCTAATTGTGTTTAGGCATGTTGGCGGGAAGCGACGTCATCCTCACTAGTACGAGCAGTTCTCGGGCAATAAAATCAGTGAGTGGACCCCTTCTTAACTTACTTGTTTTTATAAAATATTAGCCTAGCATGCATTCCATATTTCATGATTTGAATATGATTTATAATATGCTTTATAGACTTTTATAATTATGGTTTACGAAATAGTTTGATTTATCGAAATTACATTTCATTAAAGGTATTGAATTATTGGATTTGCATATATGGATTTCTATGATTTTCGAATACGATTTATATTACAGTTTTACAAACATGAATTATTTTATGGATTTCATGAATATGATTTATCTTGGATTTATGAGATGAGGTTTGACCTAGCGAGCTCCAGATTTTGATACGAGTTTTGGAAATAAGTTTTTGGTACTACCTAGTGGTTTATCATATGGCACATCCGCACACCACAGGTATAAATGTCTATGGTCGTATGACACAGAGGATGGAGGAGTGAGATATGATATATTATACACCCCTAGCTTCACTACTAAAAGCAATGTCGAACAGATTCATTAGCCACGGCTAGTGTCAGTGTGGATGTATGTTATTTTATATAGCTTCACCTTTAGGTGATGGACAGGTTAAACAGCTTCACCTTTGGGTGATGGATAGGTTGTTCAGCTTCACCTTCGGGTGATGGACAGGTACTGCATTTGGACGACTATGATACCTCTAGTTAAGTACCTCACTGATGAGATTTACGGATTTACCTTCGGGCGTTATTACCATTTTCAACATTGGTTTTACATACATGTTTTACGAATGTTTTATATGGCATGCTGGGGTTTTTATAAAACCTCTATGTAGTATTATAAATGTGTTTTCAAAACATGAGGTTATTATGTTCAAAAATAAAATGTTTTCCTACTATTAGTATTATTATTATAAACTTTGGTCCACTCACTTTTTCTGTTTTGCACCCCTTCAGGAGTTAGGATCGAGGCACATGATCCCGGCGTCATGGTAATTTGGCATAGGTATCCTCGAGTCTTCTCAGTATAAGTATCATTTCCTTGTTCGTATCGTTTCTTAGTAATTCTTCCATATTATTATTAGTAGTTGTATGCTCTATACATGTTCCTATAATATAATTTTACATTTTAATTGCATATTCTTTATTTGTATGCATGTTTAAAATGGCTTTGTCACCGTTGGGTGTCGACCAGCATATGCTTACCTTGGTATGTGGGGATATCGAGGTTGGGGCGTGTCAAGTAAGGCCTGAAACATTGCATAAATTGAGGCTAGTACTTAAGAATATTAACATAAAGCCTTACATTAGTTTTAAAACATCATGGAAAGGCTAAGGTGAAAACAAGTAGATTTAATGAGATTTTTTGCCACTCAGTACTACGATCTGGTAGTATTCCTCTCTACTTGGAAGTGGGAGGTCCTAAGTTTGAATCTTGTGAATGGCGAATTTGAAACCAAATTAGGCTGCCCTTTGTGTGGCTTAGCCGAACTCCTCGTCCCCTTAGTGTAAAAATATCGATGTATTAAACAAATTTTCAAAACCGTCTAAAAATCGTGCCATTTTTTTTTGTCTAAAATGCAATTTGTTATTTTCACAAAATATTTTACTGAACATTAATTGTAATATCTCACATCGCTCAGGAGAATGGATCCTGCAAGCCTTATATGTATATTCTCATCTCTATCTAGCACGAGCCCTCTTGGGAGATCACTGGCTTCGGGTTCCAACGGAACTTCGAAATTAAGCGAGTTCGTGCGAGAGCAATCCCATGATGGGTGACTCACTGGGAAGTTCTCGTGTGAGTTCCCAAAAACAAAACCATGAAGGTGTGGTCGGGCCCAAAGTGGACAATATCATGCTACGGTGAAGTCGAACCAGGGATGTGGTGGGAGACCAGGCCGGGATGTGACAATTTGGTATCACAACCAATCCCTGGCCGGATGTGTGCCGACGAAGACGTCGAGCCGTAAGGGGGGTGGATTGTAACATCCTACATCGCCCAGGGGAGTGGATCTTGTAAGTCTTATATGTATATTCTCATCTCTACCTAACATAAGGCCTTTTGGGAGCTCACTGGCTTCGGGTTCAAATTGTCACATTCCAGCCCGGGCCCCTACCACATCCCAGGCCCCGCCGTAGCATGATATTGTCCGCTTTGGGCCCCGACCACGCCCTCACAGTTTTATTTCTAGGAACTCACACGAGAACTTCCTAGTGGGTCACCCATCATGGGATTGCTCTCGTGTGAACTCGCTTAACTTCGGAGTTCTGATGGAACCCGAAGCCAGTGAGCTCCCAACAGGCCTCGTGCTAGGTAGAGATAGGAATATACATATAAGACTTACAGAATCCATTCCCCTGAACGATGTGTGATGTTATAATCCATCCTCCTTATGGGCCCGACGTCCTCGTTGACACACTCCCGGCCAGAGTTTGGCTTTGATACCAAATTGTAGACATTTGTCATATGCCTTCACTATTTATCAAAACTAGACTGACATTTTACCTGTAGTCATTGTAATTTATGAAAGTTGACAATCGCACAAATTAGTAGCACAGAAAAGATAACGAAGGAAAATGCGCACCCATCAATGTATATTCGATCTTGTGACTATAAGCTTGAACAAGTTAGAAAGTCTTATTTTATATATATGCCATAAAAAGTCTCTATTTATTTTACATGAGTTTTGGATTTTGTTTATTTATTTTGTAATGGGAATTACATGTACAAGTTTCAGAATTCGCAGAAGGGTTATACAAATAAATCAATCCGATCAGCTATTTTAACAAATCTTGCGTCACACCAATGAGATCATCCATATTCATATCAATGAAAGAGATGGGAAACTGATTGAGGAAATTAATATTAATTAAAGACCATAACTTGAGCTAGCATGTGCTTAATTTCTTATAAATAGGATAGCAGGTTTGAACAGAGCAACACACTCGCAGCAAGTAAATTAAACCATCAAGAGAGAAGAAAAAAGAGAGATCATCCCAATCCCTACTACACTATACAACATGGCTCCACCTGTACTACCAAGCCCCTTTCTGCTAAAAGCAGATACCAACAACAAGTATTTGCGCTATCAACTTGATGCAGAAAGTGACCTTAATGAGATTGTCCAATTTTCCGAGGACAATGAAAACAGCAGGTTCATAAAGTTCACTACCGAGAAGCCAAACAATGAGGACTACGCCGACAAGAATTACGTGCATATCAAATGCTCCTACAACAGCAACTACTTGAGAAGGGTGGACCAAAACAGGCTATTGGTCCTAGCCGCAGCTGCTGACCGAAATGAAACCAAAGACAATTGGGCTTGCACATTGTTCAAGGTCGAGCCTGTCGGACCACCTGACAGCAACAACCTAATCACGCGCTGCCGATTACGTCACTTGCAAAGCGACCTCTTAACCAGGCCGTTCATTGAAAACAGATTCGAATTGCGCCTCAACCAAAAAACACCCGATGCCGGAGGGGTGGATATCTACTCAGTCTCCCAAGTCAGATGTTGATGATCAGTATGCATGATGTTTGTGGGTAACGTCTCTGGAAACCCTCACGAGACTTCACTCGTCCCATTTGGGTCACCTATGGGTTTAAAAGGCTTGTTGCATGTGCGAATGCAATCGTGTCCCCACGAAAGTGGCATTGGTTTTCATCACTACTTTTTTCCTTGTTTTTAGTTTTTGAATTTCGCTGTAATCTGTGTGTTTATAGCAACAATAATAAACTCATGTCTTATCTTTGTGTTTGGATAAGTCATCTACAAGTTTATGATTCACTAGCTTTTAGTGTAATCTGTGTGTTTGTTGCAATAATAATAAAGATTGGTAATTCAGATGTCTAACTACTCTGTATGTTCAAAAATCAACTCAATTAGAATTTTTTGCTTTGCTTGAAACTAGGGAGCATAATGGATAGCAATGAAGTACCCGAGATATCTTTTTTATATATCTAAACCTTAAATTTGGTATTAGGGATCGTTAGATACAACCAAACACAAGGTTTAAAAAATTCTAATTTCAGTTAATCATTTCTTCAGAGGCACTCAGAGTTCGCCAGGGGAATTGACGAAGGATCTCGCATGGGGAGAGTATTTGTTTCCAATTATTGATCCAAGATTTAGTTTGAATGGTATATTTAAGCCGAAACCTAAAATTAAATGAAAAAAAATGGTAGTGGGCCCCAAATATTTGCCTTAACGAGGATCTATCCTCAAGAATATTGACGGAAAGCTATACATTAATTTTAAGTACCTCACGATAAGGCGAATGTGAAAACAAATGGACTTAATGATGATTTTCGAATGAATTTATATGACCGATAAAAAAACCGTGATTGTTAACCTTTGTCTTTTGTGAAAAATACAAATGTTTTATTTTTGTAAAATATTTTCCATGACGTTAAGAAAATGTTTACAAGAGATTTGGATTTTACCAATTATTGAGCCACATATGTATTTATAGTATAATATTTAAGTTGAAACCTAAAAAATAAATGAAAAAAAAATTGTAATGAGATGCAAGACGTTTCTCAACTGGTGTTTCATCCTCAAGAAATATCAACAAAAAGTCTTATATTTGTTTTAAAAACCAAATCATCTAGATGTAGGCCTTATAAAACCAAGTCAAATATTTTATTACAAAACTTTTAATTGTTAACAAAGACTCCACGCCTATAGCCATATGCTGTCATGTTACAAATATTTTTAATCAAAACTTCAGGTCTACAGCCATGTGTTTTGTGAAAGACGAAACCTAAGACATAAATGAAAAAAATCGTAGTGAGGCACAAATCTTTGCCTTAACAAGGGTCAATACTCAAGAATATCGACAGAAAGTTACATTAATTTTAAGTACCTCACGGTAAGGTTAATGTGAAAACAAATAGATTTAACAAAGATATTTATACGAATTTACAAAACCGACAAAAAACCGTGAGTTAACCCACGTTTTTTTGTGGAAATTCAAATCTTTCATTTTCATAAAATATTTTCCGTGACATTAAGAAAATCTTTAAAATACATTTGGAAATGGTTTTACCAGTTGTTAAGGCCCAAATGTATTTATAGTAGAATATTTAAGTTGAAACATAAAAATAAGTGAAAAAATTGTAATGAGGCCCAAAACGTTTCTCAAAAGGTGTTTCACCCTCAAGAAATATCAACTAAAAGTCTTACATTAATTTTAACAACCAAGTCAACTAGATGTAGGTCCTATGAAACCATGTCGATTACATGTTGCAAAACTTTTAACTATCTGGCAATTATAGTCATTCCACGTGGTATAAATTTTTTTGACATTTGGCAAAGTCTTTTTCTATGATCATATCTAAATTCTACAACAAATATTTTAGTGTAATATACCATCCCAATTTTTTTTTTTTAAAAGAAATACTTATTCTATATTCTATAAAATTTCTTATTCGTAAAATACTATGCAAGCAGTTTTATATAATTCTAATAACATTCACTTAACCATTTTTCTCTTTGGTGCTTACGGTCATTGAGTTAACCTTTAATAGTTGTGAAATGTTATAACAAAATTTAAAATTTGTGCTCAGTTTTAAACAAGAAAGAAGTTTTTGTCATATGCCCCATCATTAGACCTACAAGAATTTGCTTCATGAAAAACGACCGCACAGACTTTGCCATATGCCTTCACTATTTATCAAAACTGGAGTGACATTTTACCTGTAGCCGTTGTAATTTATGAAAGTCGACAATCGCACAAATTAATAGCACAGAAAAGATGACGAAGGAAAATGCGCACCCATCAATGTATATTCGATCTCGTAACTAAAGTCTTGTGTACAAGTTAGAAAATCTTATTTTATGATATAAAAAGTCTTTATTTATCTTATATGAGTTTAGGATTTTTTTTTTTTTTTTTAATTTTGTAATGGGAATTGCATCTACAAGTTGCAGAATTGGCAGAAGAGTTATACAAAGAAATCAATCCGATCAGCTATTTTAACAAATCTTGCGTCACACCAATGAGATCAGCCATGTTCATATCAATGAAAGAGATGGGAAACTGATTTGTCGAAAATAATATTAATTAAAGACCATAACTTGAGCTAGCTTGTGCTTAATTTCTTATAAATAGGATAGCAGGTTTGAACAGAGCAACACACTCGCAGCAAGTAAATTAAACCATCAAGAGAGAAGAAAAAAAGAGAGATCATCCCAATCCCAACTACACTATACAACATGGCTCCACCTGTACTACCAAGCCCCTTTCTGCTGAAAGCAGATACCAACAACAAGTATTTGCGTTATCAACTTGATGCAGAAAGCGACCTTAATGAGATTGTCCAATTTTCCGAGGACAATGAAAACAGCAGGTTCATAAAGTTCACCACGGAGAAGCCAAACAATGAGGACTACGCCGACAAGAATTACGTGCATATCAAATGCTCCTACAACGGCAACTACTTGAGAAGGGTGGACCAAAACAGGCTATTGGTCCTGGCCGCAGCTGCTGACCGAAATGAAACCAAAGACAATTGGGCTTGCACATTGTTCAAGGTCGAGCCTGTCGGACCACCTGACAGCAACAACCTAATCACGCGCTGTCGATTACGTCACTTGCAAAGCGACCTCTTAACCAGGCCGTTCATTGAAAACAGATTCGAATTGCGCCTCAACCAAAAAACACCCGATGCCGGAGGGGTGGATATCTACTCAGTCTCCCAAGGTAGATGTTGATGATCAGTATGCATGATGTTTGTGGGTAACGTCTCTGGAAACCCTCACGAGACTTCACTCGTCCCATTTGGGTCACCTATGGATTTAAAAGGCTTGTTGCATGTGCGAATGCAATCGTGTTCCCTACAAAAGTTGCATTGGTTTTCATCACTACTTTTTTCCTTGTTTTTAGTTTTTGAATTTCGCTATAATCCATGTGTTTATAGCAACAATAATAAACTCATGTCTTATCTTTGTGTTTGGATAAGTCATCTGCAAGTTTATGATTCACTAGCTTTTAGTGTAATCTGTGTGTTTATTGCAATAATAATAAAGATTGGTAATTCAGATGTCTAACTACTCTGCATGTTCAAAAATCAACTCAATTAGAATTTTTTGCTCTGCTTGAAACTGGGGAGCATAATGGATAGCAATGAAGTACCTGAGATATCTTTTTTATATATCTAAACCTTAAATTTGGTATTAGGGATCGTTAGATACAACCAAACACAAGGTTTAAAAAATTCAAATTACAGTTAATCATTTTTTCTGAGGGACTTAGAGTCGCCAGGGGAATTGACGAAGGAGCTCGCAAGGGGAGGAGTATTTGTTTTTTGCAGCGAATGGTAAAAACGGCGGTGAAAAACTTGGGAAGATTGTCCTTTGAATGCCCTTTTTTGCAGCGAACAGCAAGTAACCTTTGTCTTTATAAATTCCTCCTTGCATTTCTTCTAAGTCGCACTAATGTTCATAGACATGATTATAAGCACCATCTACGCTGTTGATCAAATCATATTCTATTATTTTGTATATTTTCCATAAATAGAAGTCAACTCCCTTGATTGAATAGTGAGTAGTGAGATCATCAAGCAGCGGAAGACGGACTTGGCATAGTCTATGTTTATTAAAAAATTAGGCTTATTATATTAACACCCTACAAATTATTGAATAAACCTCATATACTTAAAACACCTCACATTTACTTTTTTAATTAAATATTATCTTAATACACCCCACATACTTCCCCATAATATCCTCACACCCCACATTCTTAATATACACCTAACATTTTCTATATGCATCCCATATTTTCTATACACCCCACATTTCTTAAATCTTACAAACCTTTTAATTTGGACAAATAATGTTGACTAAAAGTTTGACAAAAGATGCTGCCTGAGATTTAAAGCATATGTGGGTTGTTTTTAATTCCACCATTAAAACTCATGTCGTCTGTTTTTAATATTTGGTGGTAATTTTAGATGTTTAATTCTTCATGTAATCCCTAAAAAATGAATACGAACATAGAAGCTTAAATAACACATCAAAAGCAAGATTAAATCATTATTGATGTTGTCAAAATCACTAAAACAATATATAATGTGAAGTCTACAACATGTGAAGCTTCAGAAACATCGATTTCGTGTTTCATTAATTAAAAATATTTTTTCTCAATCAACATGTTTGTAGTTTCATTGGTTAGGTTTTTGTTTAACAATAGAGAGTCGAAGGGGTTTTGATAGTTGAAGAAGATAAATAATACGTTAAAAGTGATTTAGGGTGTATATAGAATTTTTTATTTTTTTTTAACCTAATAAGGTCAAAATTGTCATTGCATAGTAGAATAAATAAGTTATTTAATATTAAATTTTAATGTGGGATGCATTCAACATTTTGTGGGATGCTAATATAAAAAACCAAAAATAATAATAATTATTCTTATTATTAGTGAGATCATCAAGCAGAGGAAGACGGACTTGGCACATACGGTTTATGTTTGGTAAAAAATTATTATTATTATTAAGGGGATGGGTGGGGGGAGATATGAAATACTTTGTATAGTTACGCATCTTATTATTATTAAAGGGATGGGTGCGGGAGATATCAAATACTAGAAATACAAAGTCGTTGTTACGCATCTCCACGACAAGTGGTTTGGGGTAAACTTAATCCACAACGTTGACAAATGGAACATTATAGTTTTCATCGATGGTGTCAAGAAGTTTGGGGTGAAGGATCAAGGACCAGGGGACCTGTATTTCAAATGTGGTGTATATGTCGTACCAGATAATTCGAGTAACTACATGGAATCAAGGTGGAAAGAGATCAAACTTAACAAAAAAATGAAGGGATTAGTAGAATATTTGCGTCAAGTAGCTAAGTGTGTTGTTACAGTGTATCTACCAGTCTACAATCGGAGTACAAAGCTATGGTTTTACTAGAACTCTTCGTATAACTCTTTCGCCCCCTTCTATTTCGGTTAAAGTAAGACTACCAGTGCAAATCATACAGGATTTAGTACAACTTCCATAATCCAACAAACATTAAATCCTATTGATCAACCTGCCTAAGCAAGATGTACAAAACGCTGAGATTCTATGGCAACCAAAATCGCTAAATAATCTTAGGGCTGTTTCGGTATGGGATACCAAACCAAAAACTTTGTCCCGATTCCTAAACTGAAGTTTTCAGGAATCCTAATTTCAAGACCGATCCCAAACCAAATTTTCGGGAATCCCGAAATAGTTTCAGGATTTCAAGACAAATCAGGAATCCTGAAATAAAATTCACACAAAATTGCAGGCAGACTGCTACGATTGTATCTGATATGCATCTACAGAACTTAAGACACCCAAATTCCCAATCCAATTCAATCTGCAGAAACTAATTGCATCTGCAGAATTCAATTATCTCAAAAGAAACTAAAGCATGAAACTTGCAACAATCACACAACAAATCATCATAAAACATTGCAGCTAACCAAGATGCTAACTTCTTTGAGAATAAAAATGTAGACCATCCAAACATCCAAGTAAATGAAATTAAGCCACAAACCACGTAATTTCACAACAATTTCTCTGCAAAAACATCCACTAAAATCTGTTCATCACAAGAAGAGTGGTAGTTCAATTGGCTTCATACAACCACCATTTCCTATACAAATACCCTAAAAACAGAGTACAAAAACAGTAATTCCCTTGAGCAGCAATCCAGACTGAACAAATTGATGCACCAAGTAAGTAATTAACAACTGTTTCTTCATATACCCAATTAAGTAATTAGCAAGTAATTGAACCCAAGTCACAAGCAAATCAGGGACTTCCCAAGAATACGAGATGAGATTCCCAGAGGTTAACTAAAGAATCAAGCAGGTATTTAGCAAATGAAAGCATAATCTGGAAATATGTACTCTAAACTGCTAGTGCAGACCAAGTCACGAACAGGAAGTTATCGCTACAATGTAAAGTGAAGACACGACTAACGCAAATTACCGAATGGAAACCGTGTCGTTATGGCACTTTATTAGCTCCTTAAACTGTCTTTTGGATGTCCTCAACCTAATACAACGAGTCTTTCATTAATTCATAATCGCAACAGATTAATCAGAATCACAAAATTAAGCAAAAAATCAAGCTAAAAAAGAGGTTTTTGAAAGACATACATGAAAAAACCTAGTCTTTATGTTCTTGATCAAAGTGGTGGCCATCAAAAATTAAAGTCAATCGAAATTGCGAACTAGAATTTCTGCTAACAAAACCCCAGAATCTCATTCCTACTCTTCCCAATAATTTTGTTTCAAGAATCTCAATATTCAAACAAAATGCTCAAAATGCCAAATTTCACAAACCCTAATCTAAATTTCACAAACCCAAAATTAATTCCAAAATTTATCTGATTTGGTGGAGAATCAGTGCACAGTGCACTGGAATATGGATGAAGAAGTCGAGAGAGAGATCAGATAGGTGAGTGGCACCAATGGTCGTAGCTCTGCCTCTGTGCCATGAAGGAAAGCTCCTCCACAGTGAGGGTCTGAGGGATGAGAAGTTGAGAGAGAGATCAGAGGGTCTAAGGGTGTGGCCGGATTCTGAGGTGACTGGTAAGGTTGTCTGAGGTGAGGTCGAGGAGGGTGGTGGTGAGGTTGTTCGAGACTCTGAGGCAAGGTCGAGTCAAAGTCGAGAGACGGAGCGAGAGAGTGAGGTCAAGTCAAAGTCTGAGGGTTTGAACTTTGATTTGTATTCAACGGTTGAGATTAAATCTCGACCTAATCCGACAGCTATTAAAATTCTAAATATATATTTAAAAATTAAATAATATATATATATATTTTTCGGTTCGGTTCGGGATTACAGAAATCCCGAAAACTTGAGACCGATTTCTGTACCGAAATTTCAAGATCGATTCAGTATTGGGTATTGAAATTTTAGGGATTTTCAGTTCGGTTTAGGATTTGGTATTTTTTTTTTTCCAGCCTAATCTCTAGGTTCAGCAGACTTGTTGGACTCCTGTTTAAACCATTTCATCCAAAATATGTAAATGAACTATCTCAGATCAAAAGTGTGGCCATGGTTTGGTTCGGTCCGGTGTCACTTTCAAACTAGAACTGATACCGGAAAGTATCAACCGTTGAGTTCAGTATGGTTTCGCTTAAATTTATTACTAAAATCGTACGCTTCGATTTACACCCTTTCCAGTTCAGTTCATGTCGGTTTACGATTCTAACAAATATAGGGTAAATTACAAAAATCTACCTCAACTATTGGATCAGCCATAATTTCATACCCCCATCTTTAAAACATTTCAATGTCATATTTTATCTTCGAATTTGTTGCAATGTCATACCTTTCGTTAGTTTGTCTATCAATTCCTCTATTAAATGCTGAGGTGGCTTGAGGCGAGCCCACTTTCTATTAATTAAATATTAAAAAATTAAATACAATATTTAAATATTTTTATATTTTTAAAAAATGTGGGGCCCACCCACCTTCTTCCTATCCCGCCTGTCTCCCCTCACCCTTTATTCCTTCACTCCAAAACCAGAACCCCACAGTGACTTTCCCTCGCCCTCATCCTCCCCACTCGATCATCTTCTCCACCTAGTCACCCAGCCATCTACACTCCGATCAAGCGATTCCCTTCCATGCCCGTCCTCCCCTATGCCCCCCGCCCCCCATCCGCTTCCGCACATGCCGCTCCGTCCTCAACCCCTTCTCCACCGTTGATTACACCGCCAAGATCTAGAGCTGCCCTTTCTGCTTCACCCGCAACCACTTCCCTCCCCATTACGCCTCCATCTCTGACGAGAACCTCCCCGCCGAGCTCTTCCCCCAGTACACCACCACCTAGTACAACTCGTCCATCGAAAAACCCACCTCACCACCGATCTTTATTTTCATCGTCGACATATGACCAAGAAGGAGCTCTCGTTTCTCAAGTCCGCTCTGTCTCATGCTCTTGTTCTCCATCCACATATTTGGAGATAAGAGAGTTGGCGAGTGATGGGAGATGGGGGGAAGGGGTCATGGGGGATTTTTGGGTTCAGGGGATTTTTGGGTCGGGTTGCTTAGAAGAAGAAGATGAAAGGGAATTTTCGGGGAAAGGGGATTTTTGGGAGAAAGTGGTGGGTGATGGGGGCTCTGGTTTTGGTGATGAAGGAAGGTTGGGGTGGGGGACATGGGTGGATGGGGAAGAAGGGGGTTTTGGTTTTGGAGTGACAGGAGGAAGGGTGGGGGGAGATCGGTGCGATAGGAAGAACGTGGGTGGGTTCCACATTATTTTTATAAAAATATTTAAATAATTGTATTTTAATTTTTTTTAATATTTAATTAATTTTTTTAATAAAAAGTGGCCCCGTCTCAAGCCACATCAACATCTAACAGAATAATTGACAAACAAACTGACGAAATATATAGCAATGAAGTACCCGATTTTTATACCCACCCCTAAATCAAAGCTGAGTTCAAAAACAAGTATCAGATTGTATCTCTTTGTACCATCAATCACATTTTCTTTGCTTGAAAGTAGAGAGCATAATGGATAGCAATGAAGTACCCGAGATATCTTTTATATATATATATATATATATCTAAACCATAAATTTGGAATTAGGGATCGTTAAATACAACCAAACACAAAGTTTAAAAAAATCAAATTTCAGTTAATCATTTCTTACTCAGAGTTCGCGAGGGGAATTGACGAAGGAGCTCGCATGGGCAGAGTATTTGTTTCCAATTATTGAGCCAAGATTTAGTTTGAATGGTATATTTAAGCCGAAACCTAAAATTAAATGAAAACAAATGGTAGTGAGCCCTAAATATTTGTCTTAACCAAGGTCTATACTCAAGAATATCAACGGAAAGCTATACATTAATTTTAAGTACCTCACGATAACGTGAATGTGAAAACAAATGGACTTAATGATGATTTTTGTATGAATTTATAAAACCGATAAAAAAACCGTGAGTGTTAACCCTCGTTTTCTTGTGAAAAATACAAATGTTTCATTTTTGTAAAATATTTTCCATGACATTAAGAAAATGTTTACAAGATATTTGGAAACAGTTTTACCAATTATTGAGCCACATATGTATTTATAGTATAATATTTAAGCTGAAACCTAAAAAATAAATGAAAAAAAATTGTAACGAGATCCAAGACATTTCTTAACCGGTGTTTCACCCTCAAGAAATATCAACAGAAAGTCTTATATTTGTTTTAAAAACCAAGTCATCTAGATGTAGGTCTTATAAAACCAAGTCAATTATTTGTTACAAAACTTTTATTTGTTAACAAAGACTCCACGCCTATAGCCATATGATGTTGTGTTACAAATATTTTTAATCAAAGACTTCACATCTACAGCCATGTGCTTTGTGAAAGCCGACATAAATGAAAAAAAAATTGTAGTGAGGCCCAAATCTTTGCCTTAACAAGGGTCTATACTCAAGAATATCGACGGAAAGTTACATTAATTTTAAGTAACAAATATATTTAATGAAGATATTTATACGAATTTACAAAACCGATAAAAAATCGTGAGTTAACCCCCACATTTTTTGTGGAAATGCAAATCTTTCATTTTCGTAAAATATTTTCCCTGACATTAAGAAAATCTTTAAAATACATTTGGAAGTGGTTTTACCAGTTATTAAGCCACAAAAGTATTTATAGTAGAATATTTAAGCCGAAACATACAAAATAAGTGAAAAAAATTGTAATGAGGCCCAAAACGTTTCTCAAACGGTGTTTCACCCTCAAGAAATATCAACTGAAAATCTTACATTAATCTTAACAACCAAGTCATCTAGATGTAGGTCTTATGAAACCAAGTCGATTACATGTTGCAAAACTTTTAAGAAATATTTTCCTTGACATTAAGAAAATCTAAACCATAAAGCAAAAAATTCTAATTAAGTTCAGTTTGTCTGTTAATTCATCTATTAAATGCTAACGTGGCTTGAGGCGGAGCTCACTTTCTATTAAAAATTTAAAATACAATTATTTAAATATTTTTATAAAAAAAATGTGGAACCCACCCACCTTCTTCCTATCCCACCTGTCTCGCCCCACCCTTCCTCCCTTGTAAAACCCCACCCCCGATTTTAAAAATTGTATTGGGTCTTAATGTGTGTGCATGGAGGGCCCACGTGTTTTAGTTTTAATTAGGTACCTATGTTTTTTAGATATATGTACCTATGTTTGGAAAGATTATGCTCAATGTTTTTGTGTGTATCTAGTAGTCATTATTCAGCCAGGGGCAAGGATCTAGTGTTGGCATATGGGCCAGGAGAAATAATCCCTAGTTTCGAGTCAAGGGATATGGAGCTGGCAAGGGGCTTGGAGAAATAATATCTGACTTCGGGTCGAGAGACATGGAGCTAGCAATGGGCCGAGAGATATTATTATTTGATACCACTATTTGGCACACTATATACAAGATATGCTTATGAGATGTTTTATGGCATGCTAGGGTTTTCGGAAAACCTACCACTTATTATGCTATTAGTTTTCATAAAACTTTGGGGGTTAGTATGTTTTGTGCCCCCTCAGGACTTAGAATCGAGTGGTATAACCCTGGCGTCAAGGTACTTCCGCATCGGCATCTTCGAATCCTCTCGGTGAATGACCCATTCCTTGTTCATTCAATTTTTATATTATTTATTTCAGTGTTCTAGTTTAGTTGTATGCTCTAAACACATTCCTCAGTTACATATTAATCATACTTAAATTTATAAGTCTTATTTATTTCTTATTCTTAACATTTGCATTTAATAAATGGCTTTTGTCACCCTCGGATGTCGGCCAGCACGTGTCTATCATGGTGTTCGGGGAATAACGAGATCAAGACGTGTCATCCCTTCACTCCAAAACTAGAACCCCACCGTGACTCTCCCTCGCCCTCATCCTCCCCACTCGATCATCTTCTCCACCCAGCCACCCAGCTATCTATACTATGATCAAGCCATTCCCCTCCATGCCCATCCTCCCCTAAGCCCTCCATCCGTTGTCACACCTGCCGCTCCATCCTCAACCCCTTATCCATCGTCGATTACGCCGCCAACATCTGGATCTGCCTTTTCTGTTCACCCGCAACCATTTCCCTCCCCACTACGCCTCCATCTCCGACAAGAACCTCCTCGCCGAGCTCTTCCCCCAGTACACCGCCACCGAGTACGACTTGTCCATCGAAAAACCCACCTCACCTCCGGTCTTTATTTTCGTCATCAACACATGATCGAGGAGGATCTCTTATTTCTCAAGTCCACTTTGGCTCTGGCTCTCGGTCTCCATCCCCATATTTGGAAATAAGGGAGTAGGCGAGTGATGAAGGATAGGGGAAAGGGTGATGGGGGATTTTTGGGTCGGGTTGCTTAGAAGAAGAAGAAGAAGAAATATGATTTTTTTGGGGAAAGGGAATTTTTAGGAGAAAAGGGTGGGTGATAGGGGATCTAATTTTGGTGGTGAAGGAAGATTGGGGGTGGGGGACACGGGTGGATGGGGAATAAGGGGGTTATGGTTTTGGAGTGAAGGGAGGAAGGGTGGGGGGTGATGGGTGGGGTAGGAAGAAGGTGGGTGGGTCCCACATTATTTTTATAAAAATATTTAAATAATTGTATTTTAATTTTTTTTTAATAAAAAATGAGCTCAACCTCAAGCCACATCAGCATTTAACAGAAGAATTGACAAACTAATGGAAGATATGACATTACAAT